GTCAGCACAGAGCCCGACGTGGGGCTCGAACTCACGAACTGTGAGATCATGACCTGAGCCGAAGTTGGAGGCTTAACCGACTGAGCCGCCCAGGCGCCCCGGAATTCAACGTTTTTTTTAAAAAAAAAATTGTAGGGGCGCCTGGGTGGCGCAGTCGGTTAAGCGTCCGACTTCAGCCAGGTCACGATCTCGCGGTCCGGGAGTTCGAGCCCCGCGTCAGGCTCTGGGCTGATGGCTCAGAGCCCGGAGCCTGCTTCCGATTCTGTGTCTCCCTCTCTCTCTGACCTTCCCCTGTTCATGCTCTGTCTCTCTCTGTCTCAAAAATAAACATTAAAAAAATTTTAAAAAATGAATTTTTGAACTGTTTTCTTGAATTCACAATGAAAATTGAAATGGAAACACAAAGTCCACACGGTTCTAGAGGAAAGAGCCACATTAGCATTCTTTCTGAACAGGACAAAATTCGGAGAACTGGATGCTTTCCCAAAGACAGTGAATTTATAAAAGAGGGTAAGGACCTGTGGACACAGAGCCCATAACATCAGTGGCTTTCCTGCACCACAGCAAACAGTTAAAATAAAAAAAAATTTTTTTCAAGCCATCAGAAGAATGCTATGAAATGCACAGAAATGACCAACACAGTTTTTTTAATCTATATTTTTCATAATCATAAATTTTTATATTTATTTAATAACCTTGACATTTATTTTATCGCTTTTTTTCCAAGTTCATAACTTTTTAAAAAATGTTTATTTTTGAGAGAGAGAGAGAGAGAGAGAGTGCACGGGCGAGCGGGGGAGGGGCAGAGGGAGAGGGAGACACAGAATCTGAAGCAGGCTCCAGGCTCCAAGCTGTCAGCAATCCCGAGGGGCCTCCCGAGGAAACTGTGCTCCACGGAGGGAGGGGATCGGGGTCGTTGAAAACGCCCTGGGCAGGAGTCATACCTGCACCGTCGTTCGGCAGGCAGACAGGTATAGCCCTGTCCGGGGCACCCCCACCGCTGTGGGGACCCTCCCCTGGGGAACCCCGTAATCATTTTTAGGTGAAGACATTGGGATTCAAGATATGCAGAAAGACACATTTTGGAGGGGGTTCTCTTATCTGACTAAAATTTTTTTCCAACGTTTTATTTATTTTTGAGAGACGGGGAGAGACAGAGCATGAGCAGGGGAGGGGTAGAGAGAGACACGCACACACAGAATCCGAAGCAACTCCAGGCTCCGAGCTGTCAGCACAGAGCCCGATGCGGGGCTGCTCGAACCCACGCATCATGAGATCATGACCTGAGCTGAAGTCTGATGCTCGACCGACTGAGCCCCCCAGGTGCCCTTCTCTTCCCTTTTCCCTACCAGTTAGGTATACAAGGCCCTAATTTTACCCATTCATTGGGCTACTCTTTTTGTAAACTCCATATGCACAGAAATACATTTCCTCTCACCTCTTCATCGTAATCCTTCATCAGGTTAATTCACAGCCCTCAGAGACAGAACCTAAGAGTGTAATGGCTAATTTTCCTTGCCCAACCTCCTTAGAATGAAACTGAGGAAGCGTGTGAAGTATACGATGAGTGAACGAACAGAGACCAAAGACAGGGACGGAATCCAGACGGGACTGTTCTAACGTGAAGGGGGTGGGATGCACGTAAGGGACAAATCCCTATCTTTTCCCCTCCCCCTCACGAAAGGGGAGAAATCAAAGTAAAGGCAGGTGCAGAAAAGACCGCTGTTATATTCTCCTTCATACGCGGGATTTAGTGTGTAAATTTTATCCTCACTATATGGAGGCAGAGTGCAAATGTCCCCAAAGGTGTCAAAGGTGGCATGACCCGCCCCCACCTTCTCCTGGGCCAAAACGAGGGCAGTGACCCTTCCCGCCTGATGCGGAGAGCCAGCGCCGAGAAGACACTGTATATACAGAGCTTATTACAATAACCCACATCTGCCATTAGGCTTGTCGCTAATTGCCCACGCACGTCCCCACAACTTATTGGCCCCAGAAGCCAAAGTGCCCATTCCTCTGACAACCCACCTGTCCCTCAGAATTCCTCACCCTCTTAAAAAACTGGTACCAAACCTCCCTGCTCCTTGGGGTTTCTCTTCTTTCCTCTGAACCTTCGTGGATGTAAAAAGTTACCATAGGAACAAATCTGTACGTCTTTTCTCCCGAAAAATCTGGCGTGTGTCATTTTATTTTATTTTATTTTTTTCTTAATTTTTTTTTAAACGTTTAGTTATTTTTGGGACAGAGAGAGACAGAGCATGAACCGGCGAGGGGCAGAGAGAGAGGGAGACACAGAATCGGAAACAGGCTCCAGGCTCTGAGCCATCAGCCCAGAGCCCGACGCGGGGCTCGAACTCACGGACCGCAAGATCGTGACCTGGCTGAAGTCTGACGCCCAACCGACTGCGCCACCCAGGCGCCCTGGCGTGTGTCATTTTAATTTGCACATCCCTACACAAGAGCCTAAGAGGATACAGGAAATGTTTTTTTCTTCCCGGACAAAAGCAACATGGGTGGGAATCAAGGCAGGCCAGGGGCGCGAGAGTCGTCTCACAGGAAAATTCTGGATTCACAAGGCGCAAAGCCACAAGGCGTGAGCCCCGGACACTCACCTGTGGGTTCACCGTGGCGGAATAGGCAGTGGGCGTATCTATTGTGCATTCCTGGTCACTCACGTTTCTGGTGTAAGTCCAGGTTAACATTTTTTTCCTTGAATCCAGCTGCATGTTTATAATAGGGGATATTTTGTCTTGCGCTGTGATTAAAAAAGCAAAAAAACCAAAAAGATGCTCAGAATCCTTACTCGTGGGGGGGCGGGGAGGAGGTTGCAAATCAAACCCACAAGGTCAGAGCGCGTGGGGGGCTCAGTGGGTTGAGCGTCTGGCTCTCGATTTCCGCAGTTCGTGAGTTCCACCCCTGCATCAGGCTCTGCGCTGACAGCACGGAGCCTGCTCGGGATTCTCTCTCTCCGCCCCTCCCCTACTTGCGCTCTGTCTCTCAGAAATAAACGCATAAACTTTTTCTTAAAGTAACGAGCTGAAGAAAAAAAAAAAAACTAAGAAAACGAACAAACCACAGGGACGTCACTTCTCGCCCGTGAACTAAGCTATACTAATAATAATTTGGGAAATACAGAAAATAATCAGAAAAACAGACAAATTGGGTAGAGCAATAATTTGAAGACTACGGAAAATAATTTGAAAGACACGAGTTGGCTACAGTCATAATTTGAAAAATACGGAAAAATACAGAGGCACCCGCCTGGCTCCGTGGGTGGAGGGTACAACTATTGATCTCCAGGTTGTGAGTTCGAGCCCTGTGCAGGGGGTAGAGATTACTGAAAAATAAAATCCTTTAAAAAAATAAAAAGAAAAGAAAAACATAGAAAATAGTTTGAAAAGTACAGAAGATCATTGGAAACACACAGACAAGTTAGCGATCGTGACGACAATTTGAAAATTTCAGAAAAATACAGAAAATAATTTATAATTAGCCACAGTGACAATAATTTGAAAAATGCATAAAATCATGTGAGAACTACAGAGAAGGGGCGCCCGGGGGGCTCAGTCGGTTGAGCGTCCGACTTTGACTCAGGTCCTGATCTCACAGTTCGTGAGTTCGAGCCCCGCGTCGGGCTCTGTGCAAACATCAACTCCAACCCAATCCCAGGATCTGCAGCATCTGTGAAATGGGGTCGTGGGGGACCCGAGCCGAACTCCAGAGTCACACGCTTGATCGGCTGAGCCCCCCAGATGCCCCTGGGCACCCCGTTTTCCTGGGCCACCTGCGGGAACATGTCTACATGCTCCCTGGCACCTTCCGGTGGACGTGTTGAGGGATCGAATCTTCACCCTTGGGTCCCTGATTCTGCCCGCGAATAAATACCTGTAGTTCGATTTGCAAAAGGCAAATTCTTCCCCTAGCATGGCGGTCTCGGGGCCGGGGGGTGCTTTAGGTCTTGGGGGAGCGACTTCTGTCCCCTTTGGCATCACGGGGGTGGGGGGGGAGTGACAATCCCACCCCGTCCCGGGGTGCCTGCCTCTACCTACCCGGCCGTGGTTGTGCACAGCACGCCGACTTCAGGACGACCAGGAAGGTCACAAGATGCAGCACGGCCGCCATATCCCAGCCGCAAAGCTCCACCTTCACAGGAGACACCAGGTCAGAGGTCAGATCCCCAACTGCCTCCCCCCACAAGGGTGTCACCACTAATGAGCTCCTGGCCGCATCCCTGGCCCTCGCTGGTCACGTCCACATTCCTGCTGCTGAGACGAAAAAAATCTTTTCCCGGTAACCTCTTAGGTTCTGTACCTGACGCCCGCAAATTAAACAGATGAAAGTTTAGCAGACACACCCGTTTTAACTACATATATACACACGGGGTCTCAGAAAGAAACATGCGGCTCAGGGAGACAGATGGACGACCAGGGCTTAGAAGCCGTGTCAGATTCAGCTTGGGAAAAGGGGTTCCGGACTTTCTGATGGGGACATACAGCTCTGGGGAAACGCAAAACAGGAAACGCAGGAAATTCATGGCCATTAAGGTCTGTCTTGTTAATAAGAGTCTCTCACATGATGAGACGTCTCTGGGTGTAGTTCTCCCCGTACGGAAACATCTCCACCATTAGAACATCCATTTACGGGGCGCCTGGGTGGCTCAGTGGGTTAGGCGCCCGACTTCTTGCTTCTGCTGGTTGTCAGTGGCCTGTCCCTCCAAATCACCCCTGTGCCCAAGAGGGAAACTTTGGGGTGACGCGTTCTGGTGCCCTCCGAGGAGCACCTGTCCTGGGTCAGCCCGAGGGGGGAGGGGGGCCTGTCTGTGCCTCATCCTGGACCTCACCTGCCTCTCGGTTCACGTCGTCCCACTTTCCCTTTGGGGGATGGCCCTCCCATGCCACCGACGCCCCTCGGGGCCTCCAGGGTCCTTTTAGGGTTCTGGGGGGGTCAGGACCCAGACGGCGTGGTGTCATCGTGGAAACGTTTGCCAGCACGGAAGGAAGCACAGTCCCACGTCCGGGCCACGAGGCGAAGTGAGCCCTCGGGGCAGGGCCTGTGCGGAGTCGGGCTCCCCATCAACACAGAACCCCAGGGGCGGCCCTTTGAGAAACCCAGAGCCGACAGAGACGGGAAGCCGGGCCCAGCGATAAAGTCCCCAAGCGCCCGTTTTGAGGCCCAAGGACGAGAAAAGGCTTTGAGGGGGAAGAGGTCATTTTCGGCCTCAGGAGCTGAGGTCCCGGCCTAAGGGGGTCTGACAACACTGGGGGTGGACGTGTCCCTTCGCCAAGAGAGGGGGTCCCGGGGGCTGGCTAGCGTCCCCTAAAATTCACGAGTTCAAACCCTCAGCCACAGGACCTCAGTGGGGCTGTATAGGGCGGTTGTGTCTTAAAGAGGAGACAAAGGGAACATGAGGTCACGAGGGTGGCCCTGGTCCCTCAGGACTGGGGTCCTTAGAGAAGAAGAGGTCAGCACACAGACATAGATGGAGGGACGGCCACGTGAGGACTCAGGGACATGGTGTCTACGTGGTGAGGAGAGAGGCCTCAGGAGGAACCAGCCTCAGCCCCGCGTGGATCAGGACCCCCAGCCTCGGCCCTGCATGGATCTCAGACCCCCAACCTCACCTCTGCCTGGATCTCAGACCCCCAGCCTCGGCCCTGCCTGGATCGCAGCCTCCCAGCCTCGGCCCTGCCTGGATCTCAGCCTCCCAGCCTCGGCCCCGCCCAGATCTCAGATCCCTCAGCCTCGGCCCTGCATGGATCTCAGACACCCAAGCTCAACCCCTCCTGGACGTCAGATTCCCCGACTAAGGCCCTCCTGGATCTCAGGCTCCCAGCCTCGGCCCTGCCTGGATCTCAACCTCCCAGCCTCGGCCCTGCCTGGATCTCAGCCGCCCAGCCTCCAGGACCAGGAAGGAATAAATGTCTGTTCTGGATCCCGCTCCGTGCGGGGTATTTGTCCCGGCTGCCCGATCTGAGTCATACAGCAGAGTCACCAGAAAGCAAAGGGAGCCGATGGGGGGCCATGTGCGTGTTCACGGGCCTCCCCAGCATCACCTGGGTCTGCACTGTGAGTCCGAGGGTGGGGGCTCCTGTCTGGACCCTGGAGGGGAGCCTGGTGGGCTTCCTGGTGTGTCCGGAGGTGGGTTCAGCAGGCAGAGGTGTGGCTCCGTGGGCCCCCACGTCGGGACGGGCCAGCCTGCGGACGGACCCCGGGGACGGTCGGATGCCCCCTGTGACCCCAGGAACACAGCCGAGCCGTGTGCCAAGTCCTGATTGGTCCTTAAATCGCCACGTTCACCTGCAGGCCGTGTCCCTGAGTCACGGAAGCTGGATGTGTTGCTCAACCCTTTGCGTGGCTTTGCCCAAGGTCGTGCCCATCAACGCTCCCGGACACCCCGTTTCTTACACACGTCTCAGTGCAACAAACAGGATCCCCTTTTTCCATTTGCACCCCCACGCCTCGCGTCTGCAAGAAACCTCCCCCGCCCTCCCCGCCCCGAATCTGATGCAGTTCCTGGGTGTTTGCAGCCGTGTCTCTCTTGTTCACCGTCGGGGGCTGTCTGGGGAGGTGAGACCGTCTCTTGCCCCCGACAAGCGAAAGGACACCCCCAATCGGTTCCCTGCACATCCCTGAGCCCCTGTCCTCCCTCCCATGTGATTTTGAGACAAAACCTCCGCTCGCCTTTCGATGAAAAATCTCCGGGTGTGTACGTGAACTAACTTGGGTGCAAACTTAAAAAATAACGATATAAAAAGGGCGCCTGGGGGGCCCAGTTGGTTGAGCGTCTGACTTCGGCTCAGGTCGTGGTCTCACGGTTCGTGAGTTCAACCCCTGCATCAGGCTCTGCACTGACAGCTCGGAGCCTGGAGCTGCTTCGGATTCTGTGTCTCCCTCTCTCTCTGCCCCTCCCCGACTTGCCCTCTGTCTCTCTGTCTCTCCAAAATACACATTAAAATATTTAAAAACATATAACAATAAAAAATAAGACAGGACGAAAACAAGAGAAACGTCTGTGCATTTTTCAGCGACCAGGTGCTTCAGCACGTGACCCCAGGACCCCAGGGTCGTTCTCACTCTGAGAGTATTAACCCGTCACGAGGTGGGGGGGGGGTTCCCTCTATCGATGCCTACATTTGTTTCTGGCTTCCTGTCTTTCCTGTGGGCTCCAAGGACCCGTCCCCAGGCTTCGGCAAGGTAAGCCCGCTCTCTGGCCACTGGCCACTGATGACGCCTGGCCCCTTCCCAGCCGATCGGCCCGTCTTCTGCGATGGGAACCAGGGTTGGCCTCAGGCCTCAGCCACCCCATCTGCGCCTTGGTCCAGAGCCTCCACCCCGAGGCAAGACGATCGCAGAGGTCACCGTGCACCTCGGGGACGATCCGAGGGCTCGCCCATGGCCGGCGGCTGTGAGTCACGGCCTGGGTGCACCTGCTCCGGACGTGGCCTCGGTGGTCTGCTTCCCCAGTCACACCCTTCCCGGGTGTCACCTCATCAACCCCCGCAGCCTGGGTCCCCACCTGGACCACGGTCTCAGACCCGTCTGTATCAGAGACCAGCCCTCCCTCGGTCAGGGATGCGCCCAGCCGTCTCCGCCCTTCCCTCCCGTCCTGAGCCCCCCCTGCCCTGGGACAGCAGCCCCCCGCCCCCACCGATGGGACGACGTCCACTTACTGGCCCCTCAGCTCTCGGCACCTGTCTTGGGCCGTCTCAGCACTTTCGGGGGACGCTGTCCTGCCCGGGTGACAGACAATGACGATGACACCAGACGAGCAGGGTCCCCGAGGGCAGACTCTGGGCACGGACAAGGAGACACGGCCTGGTCAGGAGCCTGTGCTGCCCGGAGACCCTCGCATGATTCATCTGGACGCACGTCAGCCGTGTCCTGCCCGTCAACGAGCAGCAGCCTTGTTATCTCGGGACAGGAAGCGTCCCCGACGTGTCCAGTGTGAAGCCGACCCCGTGCCGTTTATCAGCCACTCAGGGTTCCTGTTCCTACAGCTCTGGGTCTCTGGACACTTGCCCAACGGGGTCCATCTGGGGAGCACAGGGGAACCAGGGTCTCTGTGCTGGGCTTCCTGTTCTGGAGCCTTCTGTGCCCCCCCCCCCCATGTCTGCTCCTCTCATTCAGGGGGAGGCAAGCCCATTGTCAGGATTCACGATCTCGTAGACGTTGGGGCGTGTGGGGTCTGTCTCGTCTACACCACAGGACAAAGTGGTGTTTGACACGAGCAAAGAAGGCCATCACTGGGTGTCATGGAAGGTTTGTCCCCAGGCGGACGTGGTTGTAAGTACGGGTCTTGGCACATGCAAACTAAGATGTGCGGTGATCTCTCCCTCCCAACCCCACAGCTAAGTGGGACGTTTCCAGAGGACCGCGAGTCCTGAGACGGTCGGCGGTCTCTGTCTGATTTGGAAAAGGGAGCGTCTCACGAGTGTCGATTCAATATGGCGCCCTCTTTGGCAAGATTCCTGGTCGCGGGGAAGGAAGCCCGCCACGGGGCCGGGCGGCCGCTGAATCGGCAGGCGGGACCTACGTCGGGGTCAGGGCTCCTCAGCCGGCCCTCGGATTGACAACCGCCACGGATATCGCCGTGTCTGGGGTGGTCCGAGGCACGGCACGTGGACGACACAAGAGACCGGAATGTGAAAGGCCTTGCGACCATGGGGTTGACCCTCTAGGCCAACGGTGGGAACGAGGAGGTCCTACGGAGCAGTAGAGGCAGCTGTGCAACATTCGGGGACGCAGGAGGCACCTGGCGGAGGAGCCTTGGGGCAGGGATGCCCTCGGCGGGCAGTGCGGGTCTAGAAGGTTCTAGAACACAGCAAACGGTCCACAGTGCCGAGCATTTTCTCCGCCAAGAGCCGACGCGGGGGATTTGGTGGTCGAGACTCGGTGTGTTTTCTGTTTGAAAGGGTGTTTGCGAAGGATCCATTCCCGCGTCAGAAGGGGAATCCCATCGTGAGGGAGAGAATCCTGGCTTCCTGTCTGCGTCTCATTTACGTTCTAGAGGTGCTTGGATGGTCAGTCAGTGAAGCGTCTGACTTCGGCTCAGGTTGGTGACTTCAACCCCTGCATCAGGCTCTGCGCTGACAGCTCAGAGCCTGGAACCTGCTTCGGATTCCATGTCTCCCTCTCTCTCTGCCCCTCCCCCGTCACACTCTGTCTCTCTCTCTCAAAAATAAACATAAAAACATTTTTTTTTGATAAAAAGAATCTGCCTCCGCCCCTAGACACGTATCAAAGAATTCGAAAAGATCATCGTTGTGGGTCGAACGCGCAGTGGGGTTTCCACAGCTCGTACCCTGGCCGGAGCTCGCGAGGGGCCTCGGGTGATGCACCTGCCTGTGCGCTCGTGAACGCCCAGGAGACGCTGAATTAGGAGGCAGCTGTGTGCCTCTGGAACCACCTCCGCTGCTGGCACTTTGGTGACGGCTCTGGGATGCCCCGGGGCTCGCCAAGACGGTGACCTTCCCTTTCGGTTAGCAGCCTCCACGTTGAGGAGTGCTGGGGGCCGTGCCGGGAGGGGGCCTGGGAGAGCGTGGCTCATTCTGGGTTATATAACAGGCGTTGTGCGAAGGGCGGGTCCCCGAGGCTGCGGGTGGGGACGGCCGGGCCGTCTTGGGCGTGACGGTGGGTCCTGTCCCAGAGAAGCATCGCGGGGGACCCTGGGGTCCTACAGGTCCCGCAGCACGTGGGGGCTCGGGCCAGCAGCCAGCCGTGTGCGGGAGCCTAGAACCTTCCACGCCTGCTGCTGACTCCACGGAGACGGAGACGAGTTACAAGTGTCAGAGGTAGACGTGGCTACAATGTTTCTAACTGAAGGCTGCAGACTGTCCAGAACGTTCCAAGCTGGGATGCAGTGCGGACGAAGGCAGGAAATCGCGCACCCCTCCTCCGCACAGCCCGTGACGGCCTCACAGACAAACGTTTCCCCGTCCACACCCGCTGGCGGTTAACCCAGCGGGTCCGAGCTTGGAAAAATATTTCGTCTCAAGTCCCAGCGGACGAATCCGAAGGGACAGGACTCGTCCCCACCCCCCCACCCCCGCCCTGCTTCTCTGGCCTCTGATCTCCCCACCTTGGCGCCTATGAAAACGCTGAAAACGGTGTGAAAATTACAGTTTCACCAAAACCAGGTGGGCTTCATACGAAGACATGGATGGCAAGGGGGTCCACGTGTGGCTGGAGACGGGCTGGGGCTTTGGGGACTCACCCACCGGGGAGGGAGTCCTCACGAGAAGGCTGGAGTTTGTGTCCCCAGAATATATGTCCCTGTTCTAGCTCCCGGTACCCGGGACGGGGACCTGAATTGGAAACAGGGTCTTTGCAGATGTGATGAGGGATGTAAACAGAGCCCATCCTGGATCAGGGTGGCCTTAAATCCAGTGACGGGGGACCTGACAAGAGGAGAGACACAGACACACAGAGAAGCCACATTAAAACCGAGGCAGACACGGGAGGGACGTGGCCACAAGCCCAGGGATGCCTGGAGCCCCAGAAGCTGGAAGAGGCAGGAAGGACCCTTCCCTGGAGCCTCTGGAGGGAGCACAGCCCTGCCTGGATCTCAGCGGCCCTGCCCCCCCTGGATCTCAGCGGCCCTGTCCCTCCTAGATCTCAAGGGTCTTGCCCCGCCTGGGTCTCAGCCGCTCTCCCCCTCTTGGAGCTCAGCAGCCCTGCCTGGATCTCAGACTCTGGTCTGCAGAGCTGGGGTGGGGGGTGGGGGAAGTTGCACATGGGAAGTTTCAAGGCCTCCCACAGTGGTTTCTGCTGCTGTGTCGTCAGCCCCTTGGAACCTCATGCAAACGCCCCCTCCCACCTGGGCTGCCCTGCCTGCATTTCCAGAGTCCGACGGCCTTCCAGTGGGTCCCCGGTTCCCTTACCCACCGCCAGCACTTGTCCTGCTGTCCTAGCCCCTCACCCCGTGCGTGTGCAAGAGAAAGGACCCCCACTCACCTGCAGGGCCTCCCGCGAGTGCCACTGTGCCCCCAGGTCTCATTTCCTGGGGGTGAACTCCCCATGGGCTCAGTTCCCTCCCCCGTCAGCCACTCAGCTCCCCGGGTGCCTTCGCCTGACGCTCTTGACCATGGGAGACCCTGGGGGCCGAGGTGGGCCCCAGACCATTATCTCAGGAGCACAGGCACGAGGGAGCCTTCCTCCCCACAAGTGGTGTGGCCCCACCTGTAAGAACAACGGGGCTGTGAGAACCACGGCTCCAAGGAAAACCCCAAGGTCTGGGCCTGGTCCCTGCCACCACTGTGGTCCTTCTGACCCCCAGCCTGTGGCTGGCCGGTCCCCACAGCCTACGGCCTTTGCAAGGTGTGGAGCATGAAAGTATTCCTCTGGGACTCGTCTTAGGGTTTTCTTCTCCGGGAAACCTCAGGGTGTGCCCTTGAGGTCGTCACCTGATTAGACGAGGCCCACCCCCCATGTGACGCCACCTCTCTTCACTTAAAGTGAGCTGCTTGCGGACTTTTGGTCCCACCTACAAAACACCCCTCAGTGAGTGTTTGATTGAATAACGGGGTGGGGTAGAGGGCTGTCGCCCGAACTCTTAGCTGGTTGGGGAATAAAAGAATCACGGCCAGCGACTCCTCCTTCTGAGTTTAGATTCCCCACAACACCGTCCACGCTTCCAGATGAGAATGAAATGAAGAGTCTGGGCCCGTGCTTCCAAATTCATACTTGCAGGATAATGACTGATATCACATCCGCTCACGAATCCAGGAAGTGACTCTAAAACATGTTCAGGGTCAGAGGAGAGGGAGGCTTGGGAGGCAGAATGGAGAAGCACCTGTGGGAACCCGTGAAGTGGGGTGAGTCGGAGACACGGCCGTGAACTCCTCCAAGAGTGTTGGGAGCTGCTGTGGAACAAAGTGCCGGGACTAGGAGGTCTGCACCAGCTCCTCCCCCCGGGGCCGGCACGCCTGAGCCCAGAGGAGCCCGTGGGAAGGCACAGGTTGGGGGTGGGGACTACCGTCGGGAGCGTGTGCCCACTGCCCTGGCGGGGGTCACCTAGGACTGGTACAGGGGACCCACTGGACAGCACATCATGATGGGTTCACCCTTTAAATAGTTCCATGACGGTCATTCCATGTGGATGGGCATCACATAGATGGGCAACAGCACCCACCTCCGT